AAAATAAAAAGGTTTTTTTTTTTTTTGGGTTTTTTTTAACAAAAACCCCGTTTTAAAAAGTGAAAAAATTTAAAAAAAAAAAAAAAAAAAAAAAAAAAAAAAAATTGGTTCTCCAAATATTCCTGTTCCCTCTTAGACTTAGACCAAGGTAAAGTCTGAAAGGCTCACCAGTTACAAGTACCTGAGATTATTATTATTATTGATGAGCTTTCTTGTAAACTTCATGTGAAACATTTAATCTCCAAATTAAGGTTGAAGGTTGGTTTATACTACAGAAACAAATCATGTTTGTTCCTTTATGCATTTTTATATTTTTCTGACATCTACTTTTGTCATTCCTGTGCATTTGTCACATCTCTTATGATGTGTGCTGCTGTCTTTCTTGGCCAGACCAAGTCGTGGACTCGAGTCTAAATGCTTGTCAAAGAGATCACAATGGATATTTATCTGGTTAAATAAAGGCTTTACAATAAGTACAAATATGTAAGAACAAATTCTCATGTGTCCTATTCTTGGATTTATTGCATTTTATTTGTGCTACCTTTCCTCTTCTTTCCCTTTTGTTCCAGCTGTGCTGCATTCTCAGCAGGAGAGGGAGTTTTTTTTGCAGAGAGGTCGATGCCTAGCAGGCTGTAAAGCTTCTGTCTGTCTGGAGCTGGGAAGTGCTTCTCTATCAGGGACTGCAGCACACCTCTGCAATAATAATAATAATAATAATAATAATAATAATAAAGAAAAGTTAGGCATTGAAGACACAATATTACATTAACATTTTTCTCAGAAAGTTTTCCTTTGTCCTCACTTTGCTGTTGACACAAAGTCGTTGAGCTCTCCTCCTCCTTCCTCCAAGGCTTCCAGTGTTCTCGCCTCACCAGTGGACTGCAGACCAATCACCACACACTGCAGAGAAAACAACAGCTCACATGCTTAAACACAGAGGATAACAATTCATTTTTAATGAAAACCAATTAATTTCTCCTATTTCCTTTAACGAAAAAAAATAACTGTAGAGGCTGCATGTTCCCCAGGTGATTTTACCTTTCCGTTCTGAACTTCCTCTCTGGCTAACTGGACCACCCGGCGGACTTTGGAGGCAATGCAGAGATATTTGAAGAACCTCTGATGGGCGGACCAGAACTGACCCCACATGGACTTCTTCATGCGCTGCTCTGCTTCCATCAGATTGGCGGCCTGTTGGAACTTCTCACGTGCGCTAACCCACTGTGATGCACGGAGAAAAGGATTCAGTTTGTACACCTTTGTTGGATGTGGCAAATTAATGCAAAGTGCTTCAAATTATGGATTCAAACAATTGGCTTAGTTAATTATAGATAAATGGTTTATTAAATTAAAATTAGTTCCAATCGAAGGGTGAGTTTTTATTTGGATTTTTGTACTTAGACTCAAGAGTCTAAGTACAAAAAACACCAAAGCTCATTTGGTGTTTTAAGCTTAGTGGCCCGAATAGCTAGCACAAATAAACGGTAAGGTATAAAGGTTCTATCTCTGGATGACTGGCACCAGATCATATGTGGTTTATATAGGATGGGAAGAATGACTTTATTAGGTAGATTGCACTTTGCAAAATTTGGAAAGATTTGGGTTAAATGGAAAAAAAATTCTTGTGATAAACTGTCCAGAATTTGGAACTCTGTAGAAATTTGTATTGTACTTTGAGTTATTTACATATTACGTGTACATCAACGCTCCTTTTTTATTTAATTGTAATTTTTGTTCATGTAAGTTTAGCTATGTTAAGGAAAACCAAATTAAAAAAAAAGGTAAAAAATTAGTTGCAAATGATTAACCCTTCTAGAACCGAACCTGTCGCCGCCGACATGTAAACATTTGCAGTACCGTAATTCCACCACACTTGGCGCTATCTGAAAAATTCCAACGGTTTCTGAAAGGGGAGACGTTGCACTTTCCAGCCAATATCGGGTTATTACGGTAATTTCACAGCTGCAGCTGCAGAGAGTGAAATTAATCCGGGGGGCACTCGTTTAATAGACGGTAAATTGTGAAAATGACTTGTTGGATATTGAAAGTTCCAGTTGTTATGGGTACATGGGTAAGTATATCATCTCACAGGACATTTAAATAACTACTTACAATTAAAATAAGGAAGATTTATATAGGCAGACGTTTGAAATTCGGGTCTAAAAGGGTTAATGACGTCTGCTTAGTCTGTCTTTTAGTGTTGTAGTTTGGCCTCCATCCAGTAGATGGGGCCACTGTTCGTGTTGGAGTGGAGCCAGTTGATATAGAAACAAAGGCCCGGTCCTGATGCTCACTGGGCACTCTGCACCCCTCTGAAGTCTGGATTCAGTCAAAGTGCACATAGAGGTTTGAGTGCGTAGGGGTACAAGCGTGCAAAAATGTGAGAATTGGGACAGAACGCCCCCATGTTGTAACTTCGATATCCAAAATGGCGGCACTGGACACTGTTTAGTCAAGTACAAGTACAACTACAACACAAACAAATATTCTAAATGTATAGTTAAGGTATTTTTGCTTTCCTAAGTCATTGCTGGAGATATTTGGCTGAAATGTGTTTTATTATGACTTAATGGATACAGTAAATTCAATGTAATCACACATGTTCTGTAGAGTGAAACAAAAATTATTTCAATACTTTAATTTTGAAAACTGATTTTATTCTATTTTTTGCAACAGTTTTTTCTGTGAACTTTGCCCTATTTCCAAGATGACAAAAAAAATATACATTAAAATGTACTAACATTCAATTTAACAGTATGTGATTTGAGATGATTCTTTTGCTCATAAAACCATCTCTTATGCAGTTATGCAGCTAAAGTTAGTTTGGCATAAAGGGGAATTAATAAAAAAAAAAGATCAAGTTAAAGACAAATGCATGTAAAAAAAAAAAAAAAAGAGAAAAAGGCCTGATGCTACACTGTGAAAAATAAAAAGGCTAACAGAATTAAAATGTCATTTTTAAAAGACACTATGAATGTTGTGACTTTATAGACCAAAAATGTTTTCTTCCCCTCTAGTCTGAGAAGAAAACGTTCGTTTAAAAAGCATGATGATATCACTAAAGAAAATAAGGAAATAGCTTTCTATTCCACTCCCACAAAAACTTTAGATATTCATTTTGTAATTATATGTGAAGCTTTCCCTGTAATGACTTTCTGCAAAAGAAATTAAAAAATAAATATCAATTCCTGTGTGTTTTGTGACTGAGATTTTAAGACAATACATTTACAGTTTGTGACTATTTTTTATTTTTTTTTTTTCTGCTCATTTTATCATATCAAACGTTTTATATTACTAAGGTATGCCTTATCATGCCACTTACTTTGAATTTTCTGCAAAGACGGGAAAAAAAACAACAAAACATTGTCATAAATCGCCTTTTAACTCAAAACGTCACATGGAGCAATGAATTATGGGTAATACACTTGGCCAAAGTCCACCTGGATGCGGACTCGGTGTAAGGGTGGAAATAGGACCCAAAATGGTCGGGGTGAAGGGCGCATGTGGAGAATGTGGGACACACTATGCACTCAAACCTGTCAACATGAACGCGCATTTGAAGGACACGAGGGCGGAATGAGGCCGGGAATATGAGTATTGGGACCGGGCCAAAGAAGGTGAAGCCATACCAGAAGGAGAAAGACAAACAGTCCAAACAGATATGCAAAATGCATTTTATCAGATTTTAATTTCAAATATAAACACTCTGCAAGCTCTTTAACTTAAAGAACTTAAGTTTCACCTAAATGGTGCTGATTCAGCAGAGCTACAAGATAAACGTCAACGTCTCAGTAAAAGAACGACTGATTTGCTACGACGGTGAGGATGTAATGACAGAAAAGTGGAGATGATAACATGGAAAAATAAATAAAAATGATGAAAATAGGAACAGCTGATGGTTGTCATGAGTTAATGCACTTCATGGAGCCAAGTTTCAGCTGTCCTTCAAAAGCAACTAGAGATGCTACTTCTGCATGAATATCTCCGTTTCACATATTTTATTCTTTTTATCTTTTATTTTTCTATTCAGCAACCAGATTCTTGTGTTACATTATTAAACTTAAACACATTTATAAATTATGATAATTTTTCTGTTTATTTAATCAGTATTTGATACAGCTGACAAAATTACGTTAAAATCTAATTGTTTTATTTTTTTAATTCAACATATTATGAAAAATGTAGCCCTTTATGATATGGAAAGGCAGTCAATCTTCTTGATGGAAGAGAAAACAAAGGTTTTTATAGAAATGGAAGCTTGTTAATTGTTAGTCGATTGATTAGATCGACTCTAGATTAACTCATTCATTGATAACTTGCATCCTCAATTCAAATGATTTGTTTTACTTACCAGCCTCACAGACTTGTTGTACATGTTGACGTACTGCTGAGTTAGAGGGACTTCTTCAATCTTGAAAGTCACGCCTGTAAAACTCAACTGTCTAGCGATGTACATCCCTCTGAGTTTCATGTCCATAGCAACTATTTCCATGGCACCAACACCTCTGGAAGTAAAGAAACAAAGTGCAGGTTTAGGTGTTTAGCAGACCTTTCAAATGGAAAACATCTTTAAATAAAAAACTCCTACCTGCGTTCAACTGCTTGGATAAAGTTGCCAAACTCTCTAAACGGCGTTTTATGACCCCATATTCCCAGCCGGTTCATGTATGCCATGTTTCGTGGCTCAGAGGCTCCTGGATGATGCGTGGAAATGAAAAATGGTTTGTTAGTATTTAATTTCTGCAGAAATTCACGAGTTTGGTTGGCAAACCATTTGATTTTGTCCACGAACCGGTAGCGCTGGCATACACAACCCGAGCTTTGGGAAGTTTGTTCTGCAGCTCCAAAACGGCGAGGCCGGTCTTAGTCGGCTTGGAGGAGCCGATGGGACAAACGTTTTTAGCTTTGTGACATTCATCAAACACAATCTACAGACAACCTGTTAAAGAAAGTCACATATTTTTAATGTTGATTTAAATACCCCAGTTATTCACATGGATAGCCATATGTTTTAAACAATATTTTCAAATGCGATAATGAATGTGAGGAAGGATACGACTCCATCAAAGTCTTCCCCACACCAGTGGAGAAGCTGTTGGAATCTGGTCTTGTACTTCCCTCCTGACTGGCTCTCTCCTATCAAGGACGAGTAGGTGGCGAAGATCACCCCTTTCTTCACACTCCCATTGTGTTTGGAGGAGATTTTGCCGTATTTAAACTAAAAATTAGAAAACCTTTAGTCTTTTTTTAATTTTTATTTATAAAAGTCAGCATTTCAAATTGCTACCGTTTAGGGTATAAATTTAAAATCCTACCTTGTTTAGTGAATGGACCTGGATATTCTTGGCGCCAATGTCCCTCAAATCCCTCTCAGCATCATATTTTAAATCATTAGAGACACTAAACCTAAACAGAGGACACAATATACGTTTAGGAAAGAAAATACACAAAATCATTAGGAGTTTTAAAATAATTTTTTTTTTTCCAGGGAGGGAGTCCTTCAAGACAAAATTAAAATTCAATTCAAATCAAAAATACTTTATTGATCCCCCAAAGGGAAATTAATTAAAATATGAATCTTTCAGGTTATTTACCAAAGTGATCTCTTTCTGCCCAGAAGGTAGTTCTCATAAATGATCCCTGCGATAGTCCGGCCTTTCCCCACACCGGCTCCGTCTCCAATCAAATAGGCAGCTCGGTCGCCGTTGGGTAGGAATGTTTCATGTTGCTGTAGCACAATCAGAAAACAAATGAGCAAATGAAAAAATGAGGAAGAGAAGTGGGAATTTGTCAGAATAGCAACAACCATTAGGAAGGGGAGGATTTATGTAATAATTCTTATGAATGATTGCACAGTTTTATGAACTCATTACGTTTACGTTGGGCGACTTTTCAGGAAGTGCTTATTAGTCAGACTTGAAATTGGGTCTGCAACTAAATCAATTGTTCTGGAGATTAATTGGATAAAAAAAACCTTCCACATTCTGCAGATTTTTCATTGAATTATGGCGCATCTCTCACATCAATGACATAAAGGTTGGATAAAATGCAACCCGACCGCTCTGACTGAAACGCTTTGAAAATAATCAGATTTAGTAGCACAGACTGGAATTTTTTTGAGTCAAAACATCGGAATCGGGCCGTCCAGACTGCGGTGAAAAAGTCAGATATAGGTCGCATATGGGGAGGGGGGGGGAATAAAAAAGAAGCCAGGTTTGAGTCACATTTGCCTGCTGTGTGAAATCAAAGCTCTCTCCAACATCTGTGCAGTCTAAAAGTTGCACAGATGTTAGAGAGAGCTTTAACTGATTCAATATGCCTCATTGCCCATGATCCTTACTGTAGTAATAGGACCGGATCTAATCTTTTGATCTAAATGTGCTATAGCATTGCTAGTTTCAGAGACAACAACATCGTAAGATCTATAAAATACAGGTTGGATCCAATGTTTGGTGTAACAGTTTCAGTAATGTATACTGAGTTTCAGGAATTTAGAATATGGAAGCAGCTGTTGCTTTACATACTGTAAATTTTTTTATTATTATTTTTATAGGAGTCATAAACTCTTTTATGTGATCTGGCTGATGTAATGGACCCTGCTTACCTGAGCAGCATATGTGATCGCCTCTAACTGCAGTGCCGACAAGCAGCCCCGATCAATGACTTCCTCTGGGATGGACAGTCTGTACCAAACATCTGGAGGGCTGACGCTGGACAGAGAGCTGGTCTCCACCACAGGATCCGGATGCCTCAGCCCGATCTTTACTGCGCGCACAAGGTCAAAGGGTCGTCAGTTCATGTTTCACAAAAAGTTAAATAAAATGTACCTTGACCTAAAATGTTTGGGAATTATGTTACATGATCTGGATATTTTGTCAAGTTTTTCTCATTAAAATTATTGGCTGAATCGTTCTGCTTATAGAGTTCAGGGTGCCTGGATAAATATGACAAGGCATTTTTTTATTAAATGATGGGACCATCTCATCTTTGTGTAACATAATGAATCCTAATTTGAAGGGGAAGAAAAACATGACTTAACATTTTATATTCTTACATTTCATAGGCATGTACTCTGCATACGTCTCTGCGTGACCCAGCTCTTCTTCTTCTTCCTCCTCATGTTCATCCTCTTCTTTTAGGCCTGCAGCTTTCTGCACACGCACACACACACACACACACACACACACACACACGTTCAAATGCAAAAATCACTCTCATTGAAATATTGACGCACCTATTAAAACTTACCAGCGTATTTGAAAAGTTTTGCATTTTAATGTCGTCTTTGATCCAGATCCTGGCAGCATCTTTGCCTAACACTTCTTTCTTGATTCCATTGTTTATTTCACCTGAAACACACAGAAAATACCTGAATATTACGACTGGATCAGTGAACCAGGGTAGAATTGATTCCTGTTATTTAATGATTCTTGTCATTCATCATATGGCTTGAAATAAAGCAGCAATCAAATTATAGATTTTAGAAAGTATTGTCAACTTTTAACAATAAAAATGGCAATTTAAGATCCAAAAATTACAACTTAAATCCAGAGACTACTTCCCCTCCCCCTTCAAACAGAGTACCTGCGCCTGTTGCTGTAGCCGTTGCCACAGGTGGAGCAATGTCAGGTGGAGGTTTAAGTTTCATCAGCTCCATAAGACTGTTGCCCTTTAAAATGGTGGTTTTCACATTGTTGGGCCGAAGGAGGTCTTTCAGCTGAATCTGCTTGGGCACAAAAACAAAGAAATACCTTATGAGCAACTTATTCAAATATGAAAATAGACATTGAAAACAAAGGTAGCATGTTGAAAACACACCTGATCTTTGTTGGAAGGCACTAGTGTGGACACTGAAGGAGGAACAGTTGTGGGTGGGGGGGTTACTGAAGCACGCAGTCCTGAACTGGCAACATGGACCACCTTGGTGACTGTTATGGTATGTTTGATTGGGTTGGTGACTGACTGCTTGGTAGCAGTGGCCCCTAGTGACGGCAACTGATTCAGTTGATTTAAGACAAATGTGGTTGTTGATGGCTGAGGTTTATGCTGCTTGGAAACAAAAAAAGCAGAGGGAATTATTTGTTTGTTTTTTTTAGTGATTTGGCTACCGCAGAACTTTGGAATAAACGGCTGTGGAGTTTACAAAAAAAGAAAAGGAAAAAAAAAACACAACAGAAAAATATTGTAAAGTGGAAAACAGAAATGTGGTGTTTAATTCACAGAGACCTTTTGTCAAACAAAATGTCTACGTAGTTTTTACAGCAACAGTATGCAAGTATAATCAAATCTGTATAGTTAAAAACAAAACAGAAAAATATTGTAATAATCATAACAAAATTATGTCAATATGACACCCAAATACTGGGAAAAATACAGTTTTTGTTAGTTGTTTTAGATAATACAAAACATAAAAGTCACTTTATGACTTCATGCTGTACTTTTTACATAGAACTCTGCTATGTAAAATTAACATTTCAGCTTTGTAGACCTAACCGATTGTTAATGTAATTCAGCTGCAATTTCAATCAGTGTATATTAATTTACATATTGTTTTTGCCGAGTTAATTACTTGACATATGTAATTTTCAAAGGAAAACTCTGGTAGCCACCACTGTCAGAGTTTTTCTGTAAAACCCCTTTTTTTATTTTCTAAGGTGAGAATTAAATGAGGAACTCAGCTTACTCTGATTGTAACAACTGGGACTGCAGTTTGAGGCTCAGATCGAACAACTTCCACCGATTCTGCTCCGACACCAACATCCAGAGCATTGATGGAAATGGACTGAAAAGCAGATCAGAGGTTAAAACTGCCGTTCACGCCGCAGAAATACCAGGAAACCAGGGTCTTTTTTGATAATAAACTGAGGGTCATCTCACCTGCTGGGCTGTAGAAGGCTGCATAACATCCTGAGAATCCACATCTAAGAGCCCGAGATCATTTGGGCAAATTCCACTCTCACTTAAAGCAGCGAGGAGCAAATCCTGTCCAGGATCCATCTGCAAAGTAAAGTAGAACCTTAAACCAACGCTGACTTTTTCATTATCTAGAATAGAAACAAAAAATAAATAAAGAAAATCCATAGAAATGAAAAATCTAACGTTTCCAATGATTGATCAGAAATATATAACAGATGCATGAAATCAACCAACGATGTGAATCAACCAAATTTCCCTTGACTGGCTCCGTTTGCTGCTACAGGTCAAACAGTGAAGAAATATGCAACATGTCACAGTTCTCAGTTTTCGGTGTACGAACACCACCAGAAACTAAATGTCTGATGTACTTTGAGTTTAGTAAAAATCAAGAGGAAGGTCAAAGACATGAGGTGTGATTCATTAGTGGGAACAAACTACTAGATTCAAACTACAACCAGAAAATTACTTGCAGGAAATTATGGCTATAAAAAAATCCCTGCAATATTACCAGCAATCAATGTTAAACAATAGACTAAGTAGGGTGGAATATAAACTTTGATTGCAACACTGTCAGCATTTATTATAATACACACTGCAGAATCCTAAAGCACTGGGTTCACTTTTACTGTAAAACATTTGTTCAAAAATAAACATAAAAATAACCTGCTAATATCTACAACATTAATAATACAACCAAATTAGCATAAAATAAATATTCAAATGTAATAATTAAATGTGTATTATTTATGGAAAAATTTAATAACTGGCTAATTATTAAATATAGTAAAATGAATGCATTTCATGATTAAACATCAGAAAATGCCCACATATTTTTGAATGATTTATAGTGAACACCACAGACACACATGTGTAACATGTGGTGCCAAACAGGCAATAAATTTAATACAAAGTTATATTTATATCCAGACATAGGGGCAGAATGCATTTAAAACACACAAGTTAAAGCAATGGTGCAGTTAATTACATATGTATTTACAGTGTGTAAGACTTATAACATGACTTTCTTAAAGGAGCCAGATCTCGGGCTGAAACAAAAATGACGTGTTTAAACTGTAAACACAGCCCCCAGGATAGTTAAAATGTCCTGATTGGGATACAGTAAAGATATTTATAATCACAGTAATGTCTCGTTGGTCTGAGACACGAGTTGTTTCAAAGTGACCCAAAACAAGACACGTGTTTGCAATGCCCTGCCTACAACTTCCTGCACTCACCGACTCGACGTAGAATCTCCTTAACGCCTCACCTGCTTGTACACTACCATACTGCAGTTTAAAACAATATATTCATATACTATGGGGACTAACGATCAGTTTTAAGGACACAACTTAACATACTCTCGCGAACATTTCCCTTTCACTTTTGTATTGCCAGCTAACCTGGCCTGGGGAGAGTACGGTGACTTAGCTTTCCTATGCTAGCTTGCTTCCTATCCAGAAGCTAAATAAACATCCTCGATGCATTCATTCATTTTCACATCGATAAAACAGGCAACAGGGGGTCTAACTACCTGCCAGTAAAATAAGCGTACGTGATGCTTGGCCCTGCGCGGTTAAATGTTGACAGAGAGATCACACAATTACAGCTCAATGTTACTGACAGTGATCACCGATTCAGGTCCACATGTTAGAAACCCTTTATTTCCCCGTTTCTCAGTGTACATTTATTAATTAGCAAACATTAGCATACTTGATGCAAGCTTACGTTGTAACAGAACAGCTCCTAAAGTTTACAGGCAGCTCGTTAAAGCGGCGCCGCTGAAGTTAATCAGTTGTTGATAAATGACGTTAGCAAAAATTAACAACCAGTCTGTTAAAAATATAAACTCACTCAGTGGTCAGTCTTGTCCTTCCTAACCTGCTTCAGGAAAGCTAAGTGTGGAGGCTAAAGCAGCGAGCCGACGGCCCCTGTTGTTCTAGCGTTATTAACGGTTCTCGCACGCGCACTATGCCTCTGTTAATGTTGCTTGCTAACGTTAGCAACCAGGATACGGAGACTAAAAGCCTGGAAACAAACCATGGTTAATCACCTGAATGTAAAAATGTGACAACAACTAAGACTTTGTTTTAAATTAACGTGTAGGCGAAAGAAACAGCAAATTCTCACGCTAAGACACACTTACGTTACTTTAATACGGGAGCTGCGGCTCACGGTCGGCAGCTCTCTGCAGCTCGGGTGCTTGTTTGTCCTCTCTGCTCGAGCTCACGCCATCTTTTTATCAAACGCTCCGTCGCATGCTGGTCACGTGACGTGCAGGCCAACGGCTGCTGTTTTCAGGGCAAAAGTGCTCGTCGGAGGTCGTTGAAAACGGGTGTTAAAGCGGCCGCGGGGCGTCCCTCGACGACAATACACCGATAAAAGCATGAAACGTCGCATATCTGAAACAGTGAAACAAACGAAAAACATAGCAGAGTCAGCGAGCTAATACCACGTCACGTGACCCTGACAGGTCCCGATAGGAAGTGACGATGGTGGATGCTTCTTCGTTCTCTTCCTTTTTCGTTCCTTCCTTTTTTGATTTGCTGAATGTTAGGAGATATATATATATATATATATATATATATATATATATATATATATATATATATATATATATATATATATATATATATAAAAGATATATATATATATAAAAGATATAGTGAATGACTGAGTTCAAAGTTCATCAGTCAGTGTCATGTTTGCAGTGACTTCATGAGAGATTTCCCCTTCTACAGTTAAGCTTTCAAGATGTGATGGTTAACTCTGTGGAGTTTTTTTCTGTAGCACAGTGGAAAAATTGCACAGGTCAAATTGCATTTTGTGCCCTTTGCCCCCCAAACCGTGAGTTTGGAAAAGAAGGTGTGGCGAGTTTTCCCCACTGACTTCAAAACAAAATTAAACATATTTTACATTGATTGAATTGCTATTATTGTACTGATTTATGAAATTACCACCAATGAACCTCTAGTCATGACTGAGGAATATATACATATATTCATGTTAATGTAACAAAAAATAAATAAAAATCAATCTTAAAAGATTTACAGTCATATTATTTGTTACACTGGTACATTTCCAACATATTATACCACACAACGTAGAATATGTGAAATAAATTATCTAATTAAACAAGGAAATTGTTTTGTGATCTTAGAAAGCTCTGACTGCTGTAACTTAATTTGCCCCTAGATGGTGCTAAAGTACAGACCTGGGATTTTCCCTGTAAATTTAACAGGATTTCGCATTTCAGCATAATACACAAGAAATGAAAAGGTATTTTAGTCAAGTTTCACTTATTAACTTAACATTTATTGGTATTGCAGACAGAAAAACACATGAGATAGGATTAGAGTCACTGAAAAAAATTATTACGTTATTTCTTAGAATTCAGATATAATCTCATCATAATTAGGACTGTTTTAAATGCCCGTTTTATTAAAACAGGCATTGAGATTAAAGTCAGAATTCTTTTTTCTCCCATTGGCACTAATCATTTTCCATAATACTGGTGTGGTTGTGTGAATTTATATTTTTATTGTATCTAGTAATTATAGATACATATAGTATCTGTATTATACTAATTATAATACAGTATTAAATAAGTAACATTCCTCACATTATTTAATTTCACTTTTAATTTGTGTTTTTGTATTAATTTTACTTTTCCAAATAACATACATTTTTAATTCCTTTATTTTATAGATGAATTAAAAAATAAAATGTTAAAAAATATATATATTGTGTGCTTAAAATAAATAGCAATGACAAAAACTATGGTTCTGAAAACAGAACCACAGTTTTTGCACGTAGAAATGAAGTGTTTAGGTTGTAAACAAACTGTTTTCCAAGCACAAGGGCACTGCCACTGAAGACCGACAGGGGGCGCTAGCGTTCCAACTCTTCTCATTCATTTCCACACAAGAGGAACATGGCGGAGTGAGGCTGTGGAGGCTGCAGCGGTTGAGCTGTTGGCGATTCACCGTCCAACAGAAGTGCAATAGGACATCGTGGATTTGTGTGGCTGTGTCAGGAGGACACGGCCTGTGGGAGTGGGCCGAGGCTAGCTTCTGAGTGGGTATCTTTTGGGAGCAGGGAGTCACAAAAACAACTCGGACATGAACGGGGTAAGTTTGCTTGTTTGGGCATCGCATAAAAGAGGTTACACAAAGCTAGCCAAAGTGGAGAAATATTGGTGAAAATATACCCAGAATCGGGGCAATAACCTGTTTGTATTCTAGAAGTGATACCAGATTGTGATCTTGTAGTTAACCGTCTTTTCTTATAATAAGTTTATGTAGTTGCTGTAGCTGCAGATGGGATCTTTTTTGTTAACTGTGCTAACGGCTAGTTAGTCAGCTAGTGAGTTACGACCGCTACATGCATGTCAGCTGGTGACAACCGCAATTTATTGCGTTTAACAGAACCAACATGACACGTATTTTCCTTTTCTCGGTGTTTGTCAGTTTAACGTCAAAGCACACTTCAGTTTGAGTTGACTGAAGCATGAGTTAAGGGATAAAGCAGGCCTGTTTGTAGCTGTGCTATAGATTTAAAGGGACTGGTCGGCTGAGTGGAGCAAGTGGGTAAGGATCCAGCGTGGTCCCGTCTCCGGGGCCCCTCCCACATCAGCTATTCAAACAGTACAGCCTTACAATAGAGGTATCGAAGAGATTTGTTTTAATATACACTTTATTTATTTATTAATAAATAAAATAAGCTCGCTCTCTCTTAAGATAGCAGTGACAATTCAGTGACATCTTAGACTCGGGTCTCGGCTGCTTGGCATCAGCTCACCAGTTGTGCCACTCATCTGTATGTTGTTGATAAAGCTCACAATATTTTTATCCTAAATCCCCCAAAAACGTGTCTCTTATAATCAATAACATTTTTAAGCCAAGGAAAAGAGTGCAGTCAAATATAGTAATACCTAAATCTACAACTAATAATATTTTTTCATTCACAAAACTTTTTTTCTGTCTTTAGTTTGAGCAACTTTGCCTTTAACCCTTTAACTGCCTCAAAACATTTAAATGCAAGTCACTGGGTAAATGAAGACACTAGTGTCCTCATGACACTTAAGGGGTTATAAACTATGTTTGCTCTTGTCAGTGATTATATTTTTTAACTGAAAACATTACACAAGTAAAATTAATATTTTTTGTTGTTGTCATTATTTATTATACTGTGAATTTGCTAATTTAGTCTCAAGAATCCCTGATATGGGTTAGAAACATATCCACTCATGAATTAAAGGAGATTGGGGAATAAATGGGAAATTATTCCTTCATTATCTGTTTGTGTAGACATCTCCAATAGCTGTGTTTGTAGTTGGTAGGAAAAAAACAATAGATCTGTAGGTCAAATAAAATCTGGAATTGGCCTAGAAAAGCATGATTTTATTTTGATGAATAGCAATTTATCATCAGACGAAACATCCTCATATTGGATTTGCTACGCAGGACAAATAACAAAATGCCAACACTTGGCGCATGTCAATTTCTGACTTTATATTATAAAGTAGTCCAAGGATTTTCTTGAATAGTGCTGAATAAAAAGTGACTCTCCACATTCCGTCAGGATTGTTACCTCAGTTTTGTTTTCACTTGAGGCCATTTGCATTTTAGTTTCATTTTGACAGTAGATCCGACTGTAAACAGAAAGTTAAGACTATCCAGTGAACATCGCCTCTCGGTTTAAGAATCTTGACTTCCTTGTTCGAGCTTCACTGTCTTGATTGTTTGTGGATCTTTCTGTCTGTGTTTTTTTGATTTGTTTTGTTTTGGCAGATTGAAATGCAGGGCGACCGGGTTCAGATGGGGTGTTTGTTTCTTTACATGTCTTTGCTTTCGTGGTTTCTCTGTCGCTATGGCGCCCCCTGGGTAGTAGAGCTGTATCCAGGCAGATTTGCAGCACGCATTCAGATCCTGCATTTACCACTACTTTTTTTTCCCCTTTTGGACAAAATTAAGAAATTTACTGAACACATACGAAAGTTTCAATACACCAAATAAACAAAATTTTCTTATTTTCTGAAGTTAAATCAGACTAAACTTTTTTTTGGTCTGATTTTTTTCTTCCACAAGATTTTTTACAACAGTTTGCTGCAGTTTTGGTTGCCTCGTTCGCACTCACATATTCAGATCTGCCGATAAATTCTCCGTAGATTTGAGATCAGGGTTTTGTGACTGCCACAACAAAACATTTACTTTGTTTAAGCCACTCTGGAAACACTTTGGCTGTATGTTCAGGGGTTATATTCCATTTGGAAGACCAACTTGTGCTTAAATCTCAACTTCCTGACTGACATTTTTGGATTTTGCCACAAAATTTCCACATAATATTCTTTCCTACTTTGTGAAGTGCACCAGTTGCTCCTGCAGCAACACAGCCCCATACTTTACAGCTGGGATTCTTTAGAGAGGACAGTTACTAATTGTTTTTTTTTTCTTTTCTTTACAGGAAGTAGTGTGCAGTCCTCACCCAGTGATGGCGTTAGCCTGTGCCAAGTCCAAGCCAGCAGCTCACGACGAGAAGACGAGCATCAGGTTGACGCAGGAGGGGCGGGGCTCTTCCGTCTGCGTCCCGCAGCTCGACGTTCCCAGTCAACCTGAGGGTCGGCATCTTCCTCTCTGTAGTCTTACGGGTCGCTACATGTTTGAACTTTCCACATACAGAACCCATAAAGTTAATTGTAAAGAAACTAATGCTTCTTATAATTTGATATTTTTGACAGGAATGGAAAAAAAGTGGAAAACATATCAACAAAAATTATTAAAAGTAAATAACTGCATAAATATTCACCCACCTTTGAAAGGACCGACCTAATTCAACAGAGGTCCAGCTGAGTGGCGCCATGAAACGGAGATTACCCAAGAGCTTTTGATGTGTGACCTGTGTGTCTCTGGATCATCAGTAGCTCTGTTGTCAAATTACGGAGCAAAATTTGACATTTTGAAAATAAATTTGCTTAATGGAATCACGCTAATTTATTTTTGGAAGGAAATTTGCATCATTTCCAAAAATAACTTTTATCAAAATAAATACGAAAAAAATCAATTTTTGAAGAACCTCACTAAGAAAAAGTCAGGAGATGGTTGTACTGCATACCTCATGGATTTTACCTCATCATTAATAAGTGGAAGAAATATGGCACACGTCAAATTTGGGAGTTGAAGGGAAGTGGCAAAAGCAAAGGAGGCAGATTAGCAGTGTTTACTAGCAACAGACTGTCACCAGCTGCATTTCCATTAGACATGTGTCCAAAACTTTGTCAGTATCGCTAATTTCAAAATTGTGTTGTTCTTATTCTTAACCTAAGAATGGCAACTAAGATCATGTCAATAAATGTGCTACTTTTTACATTTATTCGAGTAAAAATATGTTGAAGTAGCGCAACTTTTACTTGAGTCCATTTTTTGGCTACTCTGCCCACCTCTAATATTTCTCTCTCTCTCCCAGCCAGGACAGCAGACCCCAT